CTCGCTGCCCTTCGTGGCCCCATTGCTGCCCTCAGTGGCCCCGACCTTGCCCTCTGCAGCCCAATATACGCATGCCCTTCGTGGCCCCCGCTCGTTCGCGCCCGTCGTGGCCCCATGCGCATGCCCTTTATGGCCCCGCTGTCGTCCTGTGTGGCCCCCTCGCTGTCCTACGTGGCCCAATTGCTACACTCAGTGGCCCATAGTTGCCTTCTGTGCCCAGCATTAATCTGCACTTCGTGGCCCCGGCTCGTTCGCGCTCTTCGTGGCCCGATACGCATTCCCTTCGTGTCCCCGCTGTCGGCCTTCGTGGCCTACTTGGTGCCCTTCGTGGCCCTGCTGTCGTTCTTGCTCGCTCTCGCTTTCGCTCGTCGTCTCCGTCGTCGTCGTCGTCGTCGTCGTCGTCGTCGTCGTCGTCGTCGTCGTCGTCGTCGTGGTCGGTCCTCTGTCCGTCCCTCTTGGGGTCGGGTCGACGGTCCGCGGCCGCCCCGCCGATCAGCGCTGCCGCTGGCCAGGCCGACGGTCCGCGGCCGCCCCGCCGCTTGCCGGGGCCCGGCCTGCAGGGAAGAAAGGTATATCCCCCAAAAGGGGTTCGATCGAAGACGAAGAGGGCGGGTATCGAGGCTTTGGGAAACACGCGTTATTGGACACTCGAGCATATAAGGGCGATCAGTCTTAAATTTACTGTTGTTGTTGTTGTTGTTGTTGTTGTTGTTGTTGTTGTTGTTGTTTGGCTTCGTCCCGCCCGCGACCCGCCCCGAGCCCCCACCGCGACCCACCCCGCGATCCGCCCGCGACCCAACCACGACCCACCCCGCGATCCGCCCGCGACCCACCCGCGACCCACCCCGCGACCCGCCTGCGACCCACCCGCGACCCACCCGCGACCCACCCGCGACCCACCCGCGACCCGGCCCGCGACCCACCCGCGACCCACCCGCGACCCATCCGCGACCCACCCCGCGACCCAGCCACGTTGCTTTAACGAAAGCATTGGCGCCTGCGGAGGGCACATTGCATACTTTGTAGAATTTAGGCGCCTGCGGCGGGCTTCTTCAGAGCTTCGCAGACTGCCGACGTCCTCGCCGCGCCCTCACTCTTATCCGCACCTGCGGGGTGCAATAGAAGTCGATAAAAAAAACAAGCGACACACCCCACCTATGGCCCTCCATGTTGCGCTACGGCCAGTCGGGCGCCGTAGCGTATACCACGCAATAGCCTACACGCCAGATCACCTGGCATACGCTAAGTCCCGTGGGGCCGTCGGTGGGGTGGTGTCGCTTATTCTCCGGCCCGATCACCATCGAGAGCGGAACGCCCCTAGCCCTAATGTTCTGACCCTCCTGCCTTAGGTCCCCTCGTGCCGAGGTGGCGCAGCTCCGAACGTTCATGCCCGTGCAGCTTTTTCTGCTTCGGCCCTCGCTGTCGGTGGGTCCAGGAGAGGCCGCAGAACAAGCCTCGGTGCACCACCACCGCGCCTGGCCGGGGCCGCCCTCCGCAACCCCAGGGCGGTGCGCAGGACCTCCTGGCCTCGGCCGCCGAGGGCGTGCACGCCACGCCCCCGGCGGCAAGTCATGGGAGCCTCGTGTCGGGGAGACGTACCAGCCTCCTCGAACTCGGGGGACGGGCGGACGGACGGACGGACGCTGCAGTTCGCGCCGGGGCGCGGCCCTCTAAGAGCGCAGCGGGGGCGCCGGAGCGCCGGTAAACTCAGTTCTCGATGGTATTCTTGTTCGACTTCAGCTCTTCCCTGTTCTGCTGGTCGACCCGCAAACGCGGCCCACGGGTGAGATTTTTGTGTTTGCAGTCGCCCCTTTCGGCGCGAACGTTGAACTTTGAGGTCCTGGGGCGCCGCCACGTCGCGGGAAAGACTTGCGTTTGATTTCGAGGGGGGATGTAAGACTCGAATGCGCTGGTTCTCGGGTTTGCCGATACTTTTTGACGAGCGCGTCCCAGACTTCGACGTTTTTTTTGTGGTATGTCTGCAGCGGGAGCTCGCGTCAAAGTTCACACTTGGGCTCGTCATTTTCATGATGGCCCCGTCAGGCAAACCCGAGTCCCCCGAACCCGAGTCTTACGTCTCCCCGACTGGTATACCCGCGTAACTCTGTCCGTAGAGTGCGCTCGTTTCCATGAGCAACTGCTAGTCTGTGAGATAGCGCCCACGTGGCGCCGGTTTAGCATCGATCGGCGTCGATGAGCGTCGACCGGCGTCGGCCCGCAAGAGCCAGCAAGACGATCGGGGAGACTCCTGCATGCGGTGCCGCAGAGGTGTGCAGACCCCTTCTGCCCAGGGGAGCTCATCCTCGTGTGCGGGCCCATCGGGTGCGGCAAGACCACCCTGCTGCAGGGCCTGGCGGGCACCCTCGCGCCCCTCCGCGGCGTGCGCACGGCCGCGGGCCGGCCCGCCGCCTACGTCGCCCAGCGGCCGTGGCTGCTCAACGCGACGCTGCTGGAGATCGGGCGGGGCCAAAGGGCGAGGACCAGTCCGCTCCGGAGCGATCCGGAGCGCTCTCAGAGCGTCCCGAGCCGCTCTGGAGAGGGCCGCGGCGCCCGATGCATGCTCCAGGGCCGCTGGCTCTCGGAGGTGTTTCCGCGCCCTCCTCGTCGGATTTTGTGAAGTCCTCGTCCTGGCCTCGCCCTATAGGATCGGGCCGGGCGAAAGGGGGGGATTGGGGAAGGGGGGGTCACGAACTTTGCTGCACGCAGCTGGTTTCGCGGCCCCACCGAGGGGCCCATCCCTCGACACAGGGGCGCCTCCGGCGCCGGGAGGCGCCGGGGAAAGCAGCTGCGTGAGTTGATTCTCCAACCCCTCCCTTGGCTATCCCCCCCCTTTCCTACCCCCCCCCCTTTCCTATCCCCCCTTTCCTATCCCCTGCGTGAGCTGATTCTCCAACCCCCCCTTTGCGATCCCCCCCCCCTTTCGCCTCGCCCTACAGGAGAACGTGCTCTTCGGGCGCCCCCACGGCGCGGCGGAGCTGGAGCGCCCAGAGGGGGGGGGGGGGAAGCGGGCGCCGCGGTGCCACGAGGCGAGGCCTCGCGATGTGCCGCCACCGCGCTCGGGGCGGGGTGGCGGAGGGCGGGAGGGCCATTGGGGAGGGGGTGCGGTCAAGTCGGGCTTGTCCCTCTACAGGGGGAGAATTCAGGAGTAGTCAGAAATCGTCGGGGCAGCATGTTTTGAGTATTTTTCGACCATTATGGTTTTTGTGGGGGTATTTTTTATCTTTCGTCGAGAATCCCCCTGTAGGGGGACGCCCGACTTCAGGGTACGGGGGGATGGGGCCAAGGATCCCTCCTTTCCCAGGGCTTCTGCGGGACGCGAAAACGACCACAGCCACTGCTGTTCTTTTGTTGCCGCCTTCCAGCCAGCAGAAGCAGAGCAGTTGTCGTGGTCATTTTCGTTAAGCTTGGCACCAGCGAAATGACCACAAGAAGTCCACAAGAAGTGCTTCTTTTTCGGCCGGCTGGAAGGCGGCGCAAACAAGAAGCAGTGGCTGTGGTCATTTTCCTGTCCCGCAGGTTCCCATTTGGGATTTCTTTTCTTATGCCTGGAAGGCCAAAACCGCGATCCTCCGAAGCTGCTTTCTCGAGCCTGCAAGCTCCCCAGACGCTCTTTCAAGCGTTTTTGCAAGCGTCGCCCACAGGCCTTCACGCGTGCTGGACTCGGGTTTTGGACGCAGCAAGTCTGCCTGTCTAGGCCTCCCTGATGGGGTTCGAGTAGTTGGGGTCGGAGGATCGCGCCGCATCACCGATACATCGACGCTGTGGCTCGATGTGGAGCTCTTGTCTCCCCACACCGATGTCGCCAATGCATCGTCGACGTCGCCGATGCATTGCCGATGCATCGGCGATGCATTGGCGATGCATTGGCGATGCGGCACGAGCCTTCGACCCCATCTACTCGGGCCCCATCTGGGAGGACTCTAGCCTGGAAGGCCAAATCTGCCAGGATTCTGCCACACAGCCGAACGCACCTTGGGCTCGATGTTTCCGCGGGGCTGAACTATTGCCTCGCAAGATAGCGAAGGGGCCCGACGCACACCGACCGCTGCACGCGCGGTGGCAAACCGCGGCTTGTCCTGGAGGATCCTCGCCGCCGCGGCAAGGATTCTCTCTTCGAAATTCTGGCCAGAACGCGCCCCAGGCCCCCGACGTTCTGTTTTTTTCCTCACGTCGACCCCCAGAGGTCTCGACCTCTTCTCGGGGACCGGCCTTTCATCTTGAGTCTCCGTTTCACGGTCCTGGGGCCCAGTGAGGGCCCCCAGGGACCGAGCATGGCCAAGAACCTCTTGGGGACGGCAGGAGATCCTTTCAAACATCTGGTCTGGGACGGCAGGATATCCTTCCGGAATTTAGGTCAGAACGCACCCTAGGAGAGGTCTGGAGTGTAGCGGTGTGGGACGTCTTCCGCCCTCCCTAGGTCGGCCACGCGCAGAGGGGGGCAGGGGGAGGGGGGAAGGCTTCTAAGAAGCACCCCTGCCTCTCAGAAGGCGCGGACCTCATCTACAGGTGTAAGGCTGGCGCCTTCTAAGAAGCAGTCTTCAAGAGAGGAAACACCACCCATACCGGACAATTGGCGTTTACTAAACGGCCTTGGGCGTTCACAACACAGCCCTGCCCTGCTTGACTCCTTCTTTGGGTGTGTGTCGGGGTGGTTATATTATCGGGGCGGATGTTCTGCCCTCTGAGTCTCCTTCAAAGAGGCCTTACCCCCTCCCCCTGCCCCCGTGTGCGCGCCGCCAACAAGGAGCGCGCCCTGAGCTGTTGCGCCCTTGGGGCGGACCTGGCGGTCTTGGCCGACGGCCTGCACACGCCGGTCGGGGAGGAGGGCGTGCAGCTCAGCGGGGGCCAGAAGCAGCGGGTCTCGCTCGCCAGGCAGGGCCTCCTGCGGCCCGCTGCGATTCGATGCGATTCGGCTCGATTCGCGGACGTCGGCAGGGACCAGCCAGAGCAGCGATCCGATTTCGATTCGGTTCGGGACGATCGGCAGGCGATCCGATGCGTTTTCGATCCGGTCCGGTTTCGCGATTCGGTCCACAGCTCGGGCCTGCCAGGGCCGTCTACAGCCAGGCGGACGTCGTGCTCATGGACGACGTCCTGTCTGCCCTGGACGCGCACGTGGGGCGCCACGTGTGGGACCACGCCATCTGCGGCGCGCTCCGGGGGCGGACGCGCGTGCTGGTGACGCACCAGGTGCAGTATGCCTCGGACCCAGCGGTCGACCGCATCCTGATCCTGGACGCGAGCGGCCGGGTGGAGCAGCTGGGCACCTACGAGGAGCTCTGCGGCCTCGGCGTCAGCTTCGGGGCGCTGCAGCGCCAGCTGAGCGACGGCGGCGGCGGCGAGGAGGAGGGCAGCGACCAGGCCGGCCCCGACGGCCCAGCCGACGGCGGCTCGGCGCTGGCGACGGCCCCGACGGCCCAACCGACGGCCCAGCCGACGGCCCAACCAGCAGCGGCGGCGGCGCTGGAGGCTGCGTGCCGGGCCACTGCCGCGCCGCCGGGGGCAGCCGCGGGGCACGCGGAGCAGAGGCGCCTGGGCGCCGTGCAGTACCAGGACTTTGCGGAGTACCTCGGGGCCTGTGGCGGCTGCCGCGGGGTGGGCACGATCGTCGCCCTGATGCTGGTCTACTATGGCACGCAGTTCGCTGGGAGCTTCGAGCTGGCGATGTGGGCGAACGCCAGCGAGGGCGGCGGGTCCGCGCCGGCGGAGGACCGGGCGTACCTGCAGGGGTACCTGCTGCTGTCGTTCGGGACTGGCCTGACCTGCCTCCTGTTTTTCTTGGGCATCCAGCTCGTCTCGCTGAGAAGCTCGCGCGTGCTGCACGAGAGGTTCACGAAGAGCCTGCTGTGGACCGACCTGCGCTTCTTCGACATCACGCCCACGGGGCGGGTGCTGAACCGGGCTCTGAAGGACTTCCAGATGGTCGACGACAGACTGCCGCCCGCGTTTCGTGAGCTTACCGAGTCCCTGATGAATTTCGCTCAGTCCATCGTCATCCTGCTGGTGTTCGCCTGGGAGTCTCTGCTCGTGGTGCCGCTGTTCGGGATCGTGTATTGGAGGCTGATGGTGATCTACAGATGGCCTGCCCGCGACCTGAAGCGGCTCGAGAGCACATCGCGGTCGCCCATGATGTCCCACTTCTCGGACGTTGCCAGGGGCGCCTGCACCATCCGGGCCTACGGGCACGACGGTCGGTTCATGATGGAGAACTTGTCGCTGATGGGTGACGTGCAGCGGACGAGCTACTGGTTCTCCGTGAGAAGAATCCTGGAGACCTCGCGCGGCTCGCAGTAGTTGTATTAGCCAGTCCGCACGTCCGCTCCGCAAGATATGGGACGACGTTCGCGCGGCGACGCGCCGACGTCAGCCCGACGTACGTCCGACGCGAACCCGACGCAAGTCCGACGGACTCCGACGGGAGCCCGACGTAAAGCCGACGTGGATCCGACGTAAGCTGGGTCTCACGTTGCCACGCGAGGCCTCAGGATTTTCCTCATACTCGGGGCCACCCAACCATACTAATAAGATGTGTGCGTCGCCCCCGAGGGGGCGATGCACGCGCTCAGAAATCGTATTCAATCGCTTCGCTCATTCCGCCGGCCCATGTTGCATGATCGCTACTGCTTCGCCGTGGGCCCGGGGCCATTGTGGCGCCGCCGAGGAGGAAGAATATGAGGATGGGGAAGGGGAGGGGAGGAGGAGGAGAGGATGAGAAGGAGAGGAGGAGGATGAAGATAAGTAGGAGGAGGAGGAGGAGGAGGAGGAGGAGGAGGAGGAGGAGGAGGAAGAGGAATGGGCGGAGGAGGAAGCCTCTCGTTGGCATCTTGTGTTGCTCTTGGGGCCAAACAGGGTCGTCGTCAAGATGCTTCTTTGGGAGGCCTCTTGGGGTCTTTTGAGAAGCCGTTCGGGGGCGCCTGGGAGGCATTTTTACCTAACATCGAAGACTGATAGGTTTCTAATGGTGTAAAAAGAGAGCAGCACATTACTCCACAGGGGGGTCTGGGCAGCCGTTGGGGGGCCGTTGGGGTTTGCCGGGGGGGATCGTTTTTCGCATACAGTCACACACTTCGTGCTTTTCGATTTCCCAGAACTCCATTCCCGGGCCACATTCTGAATGCCCGGAGCCAATTGTACGCCACTTCGTGCTCTTCGACTTCCCAGAACTCCATTCCCGGGCCACATTTTGGATGCCCGGAGCCAACTGTAGGCCACTTCGTGCTCTTCGACTTCCCAGAACTCCATTCCCGGGCCACATTTTGGATGCCCGGAGCCAACTGTAGGCCACTTCGTGTTCTTCGACTTCCCAGAACTCCATTCCCGGGCCACATTTTGGATGCCCGGAGCCAGCTGTACGCCACCCAGAACTCCACTCCCGGGCTATATTCTTGACAGCTGTCTTTGGTTCAGGACGTGCCTCCGACATTCCTCCTGCTGCTCCTCCCCGCTCCTTCCTGCTCATCATGTCTCGACCCATGTTCATTGCAACAAAAAACCCTGTCGCAGCCCGAGACGAGACGGTGCAGCGGGCAGGGCGCTCCGCCTGAGATTTCCGCACCAGTTCTGATCGTGAAGTTTGCTCCTCCTCCTCCTCCTCATCCTCCCTCTCCTCCCTCCTCCTCCTCCTCCTCCTCCTCCTCCTCTCCTCCCCCTCCTCTCCTCCTCCTGCTCCTCCTCCTTCTCCACCTCCTCCTCCTCCTCCTCCTCCACCTCCTCCTCCTACTCCTCCCTCTCCTCCTCCTCCTCTCTTCCTCCCCCCCTCCTCCTCCTCCTCCTCCTCCTCCTCCTCCTCCTCCTCCTCCCCCTCCTCCTCCTCCTCCTGCCCTCCTCCTCTCCTCCTGCCATCCATCAGCATCGGCGCCGCCACCATCATCCCGTACCATCATCATCATCATCATCACCATCGTCATCATCATCATCATCATCAGCATCATTCTCATCATCATCATCACAACCACCACCATCACCTCAACCACCATCACCACCACCACCATCATCACCATCAGCAACAGCATCATCATAATCATCATCATCAAAATCATCATCATCGCCATCATCATCATCAGCATCAGCATCAGCATCGTCATCGTCATCGTCATCATCGTCATCATCGTCATCGTCACCGTCATCGTCTCGATCGTGATCCCTTAGCATGGCGTAGATCCTCGGATCCATCCCTTAGCATGGCGAGATCCCTTTGCAATCTTTCCGAAAGAACCGGCCGTTCCTCCGCGGTCTACATTGTCTTGACAGCCGTCTTTGGTTCAGGACGTGCCTCCCGCATTGCAATCTTTCCGACGGAACCGGCCGTTTCTCCGCGGTCTACATTGCAATGGCCCTCCCCTGGCCCTTTCCTTACCGGCCTGCAGCCTCGGCTTCTCGCGGTGCTTCTCAGCCTGCGGAGGAAGACCGACACACGCCTGCGGCCGCGCCTGCTCGCGGTGCTCCTCAGCCTGCGTCTTTTTACGGTCGCCTCTTTTAACTTCGGGTTCGAGCAGAGCATGATGATCGGGAAGAGCTTCAAGACTCACTGCTCCAACTTCGGGCGGATTTGCGCCAAGATAGTCGAGGAAGTCGATGCTGACCTTTTCTTTGGGTGCGAGGTCGGTGCGTTTCGTCAAGGCCTGAGTCGAGCATCCATCAACGTGAAAGACATCCTGACCAAGCCGTTCGGCGACAGCATCGGCTTCTGCGAGGTCGCCAACTACTTGAGCCTATGGGGCTTCGGCGGTGCTTCTCAGCCTGCTGACGTGTCCCTGCGCGAGGACACATACATCTACCACGTCCCCATCGCGCGACAAGTGGACGCAGTGATCTCACGGTTCAATGTGCAGACAAGAGGCCATGACAAAGTTCACGTGGTCGTCGGAAACATGCACATCGTTTGCGGAAGCAACCCTCCCAGCATTCACACGCGACAGCGAGCAGTTCGGCTGCTCCGACTCCACTTGGACGGGATCGCCGTGCTTCTCAGTGCTGGGGAGCCGGGCACGCCGGTCGTGCGCCTCGCAGTCGGCGACAACAACTTGACCGCGCAGGAGGCGCGTGGAGCTTTCCAACGCCACACTGACGACAAGGCGTTATGGGAAGTCTTCGCCCCCCCGGCGGACCGCAAAGGCGACAACGTGGCAGTCTGCGGAGCAGTCGCGCGTTTCCAGCCCGTCGCTGTTGGCGCCTCGTACATGGACCGTGGCATGCGAAACGACGCACACGATGCTGTTGCGGTCGTGCTCACCGCCCCTGGTGCTTCTCAGCCTGGGGAGACAAAGAGGCGGAAGATTGTCTTCGGAGACTTGCCTGACGCCGACGCCGACTCAGAGACCGAGGCGGAGGGCTCCTCGGTGCGCTGGTCCTGGTCCCCGAGCCCCGCTCCTGTGCTTGCGCCGCTTTCACCGACGTCACCGGCCGACGCCGCAGCCTGCGACGAGCCCGAGGATGAAGTTAGTCGGCGCGCGCAGGAGCTGCGCAAGGAGTTGAGGGAGTATTGGGACCAGAGGTACGACGCGGACTACGACCCGAAACTCCTCCACCACCTCAGCCTCTTGCTGTTCAAGAAGAGGACGTCCACGCAGCCTGCGGACAAGGATCCAGCTGGTGCTCCTCAGCCTGGCTCGGACTGTGACACCGCCTTCGCGTCGCAGGCGGAGACTGTCCGAGCCATTGTGTCTGTCCTTAAGGTTCGCCATGAGTTTCTGCGGAGCAAAAACGTCGCCGACTTGCGGCGCGTCCTCACCGACGCTGAGCGTGGGGAACTCGTAAGACGTGTTCGCACAGAGTACGAGCAGTCCGAACACCAGCTGGCGCTACAGGAACGAGATGGCGAGAAGGGGAAAGCGAAAGGCAAGACTCCACCACAAGGTTCTAGCGGAGCTTCTCAGCCTGCGGGAAAAGGCGAAAAGGGGAAAGCGAAAGGCAAGACTCCACCACAAGGTTTTCGCGGAGCTTCTCAGTCTGCGGGAAAAGGCGAGAAGGGGAAGGCGAAAGGCAAGACTCCACCACAAGGTGGCCAGCCCCAAGGGGCAGGCCAAGGGAGTCTCGCTAAGTTCCTCAGAGAGCAGAAGCGTAAGCGGTGGTGCCGGCATCTGCAACGTGTGTGCGGCGCAAAACAGATCTGGGAGGTGCTGGCTTTCTCCGGCCGCTTCGACGTTGACATGCTCACCCAAGCCTTGCACGCCGAACCCAGTGAGCCACCTGCGCACGACGAAGTCATGAAGGAAGAGCGCCGCCGCCTCCACCGCGACAAGGCTGAAGCGATCTCGCGCTACAACGAGGGTGAGCGGCTCGCCCGCTATCGGCAAGAGCTCTTCCGTGGCGGTGCTACTCAGCCTGCCGACCAGGGCCAGGAGGTTCCCACTCTCACGCGCAAGCAGTTGGACGTGCTTCGGAAGTGGGACAGCGGCGAGTTGCGAGTCAACCGGAACCAGGCGATTGTGGCGCTAGGACACGACCGCCTCCGTACTGCGGGAGGGGATTACCTGGACATCGGCGGCAGCACGGGCGGTGGGTCTCGGCGCATCATCGACTCTTGGCAGCCGCCGGATTGGCGCGACTTCCTGCAAGACGAGCGGGAGAGGTAAGGTTTCCAAGCCCGTGTGCCCGCGGTGCTTCTCAGCCTGCGGTCTTCTGATACTACTTGCAGCAGTAGTAGGACTGCGCGGCCGCGGTGCTTTTCAGCCTGCGAGTTTCTGCGGTGCTTTTCGCTAGACTCTTTCTGCGGTGCTTTTCTGCGAGTAGTGGGACTCTTTTCAGCCTGCGAGTTTCTGCGAGTCTCAGCCTGCGAGTTTTCAGCCTGCAGGTTTCGCAGGCTCCCCGCTTCGCACGCCGCTCCTCAGTTCCAAGACGTCTGCCACAGTGTTAACGCAGCTCAGCCTGCCGCTTTTGCAGGCTCTCAGTTTCCAAGACCTCTGCCAAGACGTAGTTGGAGACCCGAGAAAGACATGCAAAACACATCGAAGGAGCGCGGTCATCATCTCGTCATCGCAGTCAATCATCACATCATCACCAATGGACTCGCCCAGCACACCAGTAGAGACTCAGGTCTTACGAGTCCCTGCACATAATACTATGTACACAATGTAGTCCTGCGAGTCCTACTGTCCCGCGAGTCTGTGATACAACTGTGTAGTGTCAAGCTCTGTGCGTTGATAGCAGTGTGTGCGTTGATAGCAGTGTCTTGTTTGACCATACATCCATTCAAGTTCCGTGCGTTGATAGCAGTGTCTCGTTTGGACGTACACCCATTCAAGCTCCG